AAAACTAAAGACTTAAAGCTTCGAAACTTTTTTGCTGATCTCGATATGAGCATTTTGCAGCCTTTCGATAATCACTAAAAAATTCATTGACATTTTTTGTACGTTTTTCAGTAATAGTTACCTACAATTTTAATCAAACTTTCGTTTGAATACCTATCATTGGAAGTTCAATAACAGTTTTCTCCGTGTGTAAACATTGGAAACGTGAAAGATTAAAAATCCTGTAACAACGTTCTAATACCTAGAATATGTGAAAATATACAGCATGTTTATTTAATTAAGAAAAAAATTGAGAAGGTTTCTGTACCTGGAAAAAGACGCACAACTGTTTCAAACAAAATGAATTCCTAATGACAAATTTGCGAATAAATTATATTTTACTCTTTCAAATATATTTTTTGAAAGACAATGAGGAATGCTCCTTTAATCTTACAGTTACTTGTGGAAATATATCATCCAAGGAACATCTGTAAAACCCTCCGTTCTAAGCCAAGTTTTTTCCAGCCTCTTCAGGATGACTTGTAGGAAATGGAAAAGCTGCTGAAAACTTGGCACGCATATTATATCGGGATTTAAGAACAAATTACTTTCTGTTGTCTTCTGTGTACATCTGTACTAAAAGACACGAATCGTTTGTGTTTCCTTGAATATTTACGCGAAGGTCTTGTCATTTTTCTTTGATATATTATCCGACCCTTAATCACAAAGAAATAAAAATGACATGGATAAGTCAAGGTTCTTTTCAGATGTTTATTCTAATTTTTTATCCACACCATTCGTCTGGAAAATACATGCAGTCCTATTGATGAACGATGTCATACATACATCGAATGTTGTTTGTGTAAATAATACCCGAATACACTAAGAAGGTCGATTTGTAAAGCTCACTTTTTTGAGACCTAAAGGATTAGAAAAAGTATTAAAAAAAGGTTTATTTTTCCTGTAGCTTTGGATTTTCTACAATGTCAATTTTACTCACGTTGCGCTCAAAAATTGATCAATTTCTGTCTACACTAGATTGAATGAAATTTTGAATCTGTTAATATGAATACAATTTTGTGGTGAAACTATTAAGGCAGAATTGACTCAAATCTGAGTTTCTGTTACTCCCCAGTGAGTGAGTGTTTACTTTGTTATGAGCATATAAGAACAACTAAGAGTTAAGTTTTCCCTAATGTGCTTCGGACTTAACTATTATAGAGTTATTTTCTATTCAAACTAGATTTTAGTGAAATTATTTAGACCTATTACCATAATACCATATTTTATGTTTTATTTATTCTATAAATATATGAACACTAACATCTGAACGCAGTTTTGTTTGTTATTTACTTGACTTACTTTATTTTTATAGTGAAAAAGAATGTAACATATAGCTAAGTAAGTATACCTTTTATCAGCACTATTTTTTTTTTTTTTTTTGATGAATGAGGAGAAATCTTTTTCATTCCATGTGTTAATTGAGAACAACGTTTCTTTCTAACGCAGTGATAGAAAGCGTGTATTTTAAGAAACGAATTAAGCGTGGTTTTTCTTCGGAAACAATATATCCAAACGTAGACAGAAATAAATTTAGAACCCTCCATACTTTCTCTTTACTCGCTTTCTTTTACTTTTCAGTTCTTTTAGGTTAATCCAATTTGCGATTAGAACAAGATGTGCTGCCAAGTTGCCCACCGGATCGATACGGAAAATTAACTCGGATAAGAGCTGCCTTAAGAACATCAACCGCCTTTCTATTGCTATTGTGTTGGTTCCTGAGAAATATATTCCAAATTTTTTATAAATTCTTATATCTACAGCCGATGTATTGTCATAGTATACAAGGTGTTTTAACATGTAAAGTGTTTTATAAGTAAAATTACTGTTATCAATAAAATTGAAATATGTGAATTTAAAACCGTATTTGACATAGCAACATAAAATTTGATGGCACATATGAATACGACAACACGAAATTTAAGTTTTTTTGTCTTACAAATGATTTACAAATATGTGTATATCCTCTGAAATCATCCTTTAAATTTTACAAAGCGTGGCATCGATCAATTTATTCGATACGTATCTAGTGGCATCCTAGTGCTTGCCCTGTCAGCCTGGCGTGCCGGTGAACAATCCAAGTTTGTGCGTGTGTGAGCGAGTGAGTTTGACGCTTTGCTTGGTCGAGTGTATGGCACGTATTTTTATACCAGTCAGTATTATAGTATTGTGAACATAGTACACGGCTTGACCACAGATTTAACATATGTCTGCTACTACAACGCTTACCTACTAGCATAATTCAGATCACTATTGTTTATTTATTTGACTGTCGCCACAAAGTTTCCGATTTCTATATAAATCACAACAACGAAAAATGCCATACATACATGAGTGAGTCCCCGCCTTTGAATATTTCATTTATTATCTGCATAGTCAGAACAAAACTGATTTTTTTATGCAAAATTTGACAATCTGCATTTCGAAAACAAAGCTCTTCCGGGAAGATTTTATATGAATTACTTTAACTACTTTTTCATAACATTTTTTTCACTTTTTTATGAAGACATTTTTTTTTATTTAACCATACTTTTTATTTAAGAAGCGGATAAAGTTTTGTGTTATTTTCACAGCAAATAACTATTAATTTTTGAATAAATATTTCATTTCCGTCCTAACTTGATTAATTATGCACCTTACAAATACTGCCGTATAAATATTGTTTGATTATAATTTTAGCCACGTGTAGGTTACAATATGCTCTTTTAAATTCAACTTTTTATGGCTTCATTTTCCTTTGCAGTAAAATAGACGAACGTCTCTAACCACGGCAATCTGCTACTTTCTAATCTAATATGCATTGGAACATAGCAAAAACTTAATCCGATAGTAAAGTAAAAAAAGTTACTTTGCCGAACAGAACGGCAGGAAGATTAACGATGGTTTTATTTCAATTTTATGAGTCGTTTTCTTTTGTACTAATTAATTTCAGCCAGAGCAAAGATGTAATTATTCGCTGAAATTAGCAATTAATGGAGGATGAAGACGTTTTGAACGACATTGTTGGTAGATAGGAACTTTTATAACCAAAGTAAAAAGTTAATATGGGACATAAAGAATTGTTGTTTCGAATTCGACAATATACGATATATGTATACACGAAAAATTAAGCTTATTGTTTATGAACATAAAATTGTGGCTAGGTTTAAATATTTGGGTGTAATTTTTTACTATAAATTAACTTTTGTTCCTCATATTAATTTTAATGCTAAGCTTCTTAAAGAAATTTTCATAGCCTCTTTATTATATACTGTTAAGTCGAAACTTGTGTATCATTTATTTGCAACCCAATATATCATCATGTTCACTCACTGCATATGCACAGATAGAGTTCGAAGAAAATTTCTTAAATACCTGGCCTTTAAAATTGACAATATTTTTCATATGAGAAGTACCTACTGCCTTGTTGAATAAATTAAATATGAATGATCTAACATTACGGCAAAGTAGTTTTCTCTGCTGTTCTTAAGAATAACATAGATTTTCGTGATACACTTTTCTGTACAATATTCAATAATCCATTTTTTCAATTTCGCTCCTAAATATTATTATATTTATCTACTCCACGGTTATTAAAAATTTTTATTTTAAGTTTTAAATAAAAACCTGTGTTCTCTATCAGAATTACTTCTTGCGTGATTTATGTGACACCCTTTATATAAGATATATATTGCTTTCAGTGTATATCTCTTGTATTAGTTCCATTTTATTACCAAACACCCCGGCAGATCCCAGCTTCTCGGTGTTGTGCACATTTCTCTGTGGCGCTCTGGTTTGATGTTTTACTTTGATGTTATAGTTGCCAAGGTTACAATCAAAAGGTTTCAAGTACAAATAAAAGTATTTCCAAACTGAAGTTTCCCTTTGCCCGAAGGAAATTATCGAATCCCTCTATGAATTCCCTTTAAACAAGAAATTCGCTTAACGGGAATAGCGACAGATACTTTCTTTGATCCTAACAGGATCCATGGAACATACTTTAACGAAAATAATATCTTTGGCAACAGTTCTTAGATAAACAAAAGTAAAATATCTAAAATGTTGTTACTTTATGGTTGCTTGCACAAATACCTATAGAGTTTAGCAAACAGTTAAAGAAAATATCTCTTAGTTAAATATGTGTATTCACCACAACCTATGCATTATTTTCCTCAATATTTATTTGTATGAATGAAATAGATGTTATATTTATTTATAAAACATATAATAAACAATGAGAAAAAAATAAAGGAATATTAAACATTATTATAATAAATATCATGTTCAAGGAAGCACGCTCCTGTCTTATAAATAATGAAACATCCTTCAGGGATAAGAAAAATTTATGACTAGACTAGAATCATTTCAGAATTCTACTAATCATTCTTACATCTCCGATATATATTTCTCAGAACATCTAAGTATTATTAATTCTAGAAAGTTTGAATTTTAGATGAGAAGTGTGTTTCTTTAACTTTTACAGAGTTCTAATAATCGCGTGTAATTTCATTTAACAAACGTGTTCGATTATTTTCACATAATAGAAAATAATTAATTACGTTCGATTTTTATGACGTGATTGCAAGTAAAACCACAATTAATTCAAAAACATAAATAATTGGATACAGTGTTATTTTATTCTATATCGATTTTAATATTCAATTATTGATGTATGTACATACATGGTAATGGAATTATTTTCGTAAAACTAATTAATAAATTAGTTTTGTTAACAAATATTTGTACCTAGTTCTCAATCACGTTACGCAAATTGATGAACCGTCTGTTTAAGTAGGTAGGTAATATTTAGGTTCTGATAATAACAGATCATTCTAATTGCGTAATTTGGAACATTTTCACTTTATGTTGCGAATTGTGAATAGGAATATGAATATTCGAATTTGAAATCTAAATCTTGTGATCGTCAAGCAGGGAGCCAACATACGGAACAAAATAAGAAAAGAACCATACTTTCCAGTATGGCGGAATATTTGTGACTACAAATAAAAATAAGTTGTCAAAATTGATAAATAAAATAAAAAAGTTGAAGTGAATTATGGCTAGAGCAGCATTTATTGGAACTTGGGAAGTAAGTATATAAGTATACTACTTTCCTAAAAAATGTTTACGTGCCGGTTATATTTTTAACTCTAAAAATACCTTTGCCATGTTTATTTTCCTACTGGTTTTTGATGTTTTTAATTTTAGGTAGTAAAATGTGAATATGTTAAAGGGACGTACATTGGAAGTTATGATAGATACATTAAATATATGGAAGGGTATTTATTTTTCATGGTACAATCTGAATAGTATTAATTATTAATATTTTAGAGTGAGATTTCGTTTAGATGAGAATGGAGATGTAACATGGTTTATCAATGATGAATTGAAGTCTGTTCCCCTTTTCAGTTGTGAAACATATGAGGTCTATATCCATGGAGGCCGAGCTGGTATACAATTACGGTTTGGTGCTTATGCTGGCCATGTTTTTGAATTTATAGTAAGTTAAAGCGTTTTAATGTTTCCTTCATATAACTTATATTTTTTAAGCCTGACAAAGGAAGACCGTCTGACAGTGTAACATTAACTTGTGAAGGGCTATGTATGCTACATTGTATCCGATGCAGTGACGACACCGAAATTAGCTATAGTGTCCCGTACTTTACATTGCTACCAGCTTTAGAAGACGGTTATTTTTCAGATGTAATAATTACAGCTTCTAATAATAAACAAGTGAGTAAACATAACACGTTCAAGATTTTGATATCTAATTAATTTTTTTTAGTTTAAAGTTCACTCTACTATTCTCGAATTGCAAGGGAATGATATTAATTGGACCTCAGACCCCCCGCCCTTTAGTAATATACCCGAAGATGTTTTAGGAACGATACTTCATTTCCTCTACTCTGAATGTCTGCCTGAAAATTTAACGGAAGAGACTGCTGGTCAGGTAGTTGCAGCTGCTGGTCCATATGTATCATTGAATAAATTAGTGAATAATTGTCAACTGTATCTGAAAAATATGGCTCTAAAACAACGTAAGTTTGCTTTATTTCGAAATGTTTTTCCATTTTATAAACAAGATTATTCTAAAACGTAATGTTTTTGCTGTGTTGGAATTTATTTATAGTTCTTACGATTCCTCTGTGCTATCTGAAATACGTTATTAATTTGTTGTTTATCCAAACATTCATTAGCCTGTTGATAAGCCTAGTTTATTTTCGCTTATTTTTGTTGTGCCTCGAATGAAATCACAATGTATATATTTATTCTTCAAACTAGGAAATTTCTGTTTTTTTCTTACAGAAATCATAGGTTTGGTCAACGATATGCATTCTTGTATAAATCAAATCATTGATAGATTTCAGCCAAGGAGCAATCATTCTTCCTCGGAGAACATAATATCCAATCCGGCAAAGCTGTGCTTTGTCGTTAAACAGTCGATTAGGGATGCTGCTGTAGGTAACGTCATTCCAAGCACATTTGGGGTTAGACCCGAGTGAGAAATTTGTAATTTTTTTAGCTGGTGTGAAGTTATTGCTTCTGTGTGATTTATTTACGAAGAGAAAAAACGAACTGTCCCGAAACGAACGACATGAAATTATCCGATATGCCAAGTCGAGGTTACCAGTGTTTCTGTCACAAATCACAAGGTTCCTGCAGACTTTGAAAGATACTTTTAGTTCAATGTCGCCTGCTCAGAGGGTGGAAATAGCCACATTTTTAGTACCCGAGGTACATTGCTTAACAAATCGGGCCCTCGGAAACTACTTCTTTTTATTTTCAGATCGAAATAATCCTAGATACTATGTCCATGTTAATAGTACATGTGGAAAAAGCCTTACAGCAAATAATTCAGGGCCTCTTTACGCCGGACGTCACCAAAAGTAAGAGCAACGTAGGAGATATGTTGTCGAAGACCGTGAGGAATCTTTTACACATAAGAGAATTGACGAAGTTGAATACATTTCACGAACATATCACTTGTAGCCTCGGATTGTTAGTACATAAGAAGTAGGTCCCTTCATTTAAAATGAAACTTTCGTTTTATTGTTTGTTTTAATTTTGCCAGGGAAAACTTCAACGAAATGTCGTCTTCACAAAAGGTACGTTCTATTGCGAGGAATCTGGAACAGCTAATAGAAGAACTTCCGATATTTCTAATAAGACTGGAGGAAACTGCATCAGCTTTCGATGAAAAACTAGAATGGAGCGATTTCAAATTCTGTTTCAAAGTTGGAACTAGCAAGGTGGTAAGTGCCATCGTTTAAGCACGGTTTTTCCTTTTGCATCAATAATTAACATTTTTTAGTCTGACATTCTACAAAAATTGATAGTTCACATCGATTCGCTGCAAGACGTAATGATTCAGGTGTGCGAATTAGTCCAAAGGGACGCTTTCACGCAAACCTTGCAATCTCTGGGCCTTTTGAATACCACGGCTTCTTCTTCTCACACTAACGAAACACCAAAAATGACCAGGAGTTCTTCGTATTCAACGCCAAAGCATCATGGCTACAAAGTAAGTCAATTAATCCAAAGAGAATTTTTTTACAAAATTTTAGTGGTTACATTCAGTGTCCGATTAAATAATCATTAATTAACTAATTTATCAATTATCAACTAATTAATTAATTAATCAATTATAACTAATTAAATATTAATAGAATTAGTGTCCAATTAATGAATTAACCATTAACTAATTAATTAATTAATTCAATTTTAAGTAAATTAATTTGGTGTCTGACATAATGTAAGCAGTTAATCAATAGTTAATAATTAACTAATTAGTAATTAGTTAATTATCAATTATATTTTAGCTGAACTTAGTGGAATCACTATGTTCCACTGGATGTGAATGACATTTTAATTTGGAAACTGTAACTTGCACTTGTTACTATTTAACTAATTAATTTATTAACTGATTATTTAATTATTATAAGTTTTAATTATTCAATTATAACTAATTAAATATTAATAAATTTAGTGTTCAATTAATGAATTAATTATTAACTAATTAATTAATTAATTATTAACTAACTAATTAATTAATTAATTAATTCAATTTTAAGTCAATTAATTTGGTGTCTGACATAATGTAAGCAGTTATCAATAGTTAATAATTAACTAATTAGTAATTAGTTAATTATCAATTGTATTTTGGCTGAACTTAGTGGAATCACTATGTTCCACTGGATGTGAATGACATTTTAATTTGGAAACTGTAACTTGCACTTGTTACTATTTAACTAATTAATTTATTAACTGATTATTTAATTATTATAAGTTTTAATTATTCAATTATAACTAATTAAATATTAATAAATTTAGTGTTCAATTAATGAATTAATTATTAACTAATTAATTAATTAATTATTAACTAACTAATTAATTAATTAATTAATTCAATTTTAAGTCAATTAATTTGGTGTCTGACATAATGTAAGCAGTTATCAATAGTTAATAATTAACTAATTAGTAATTAGTTAATTATCAATTGTATTTTGGCTGAACTTAGTGGAATCACTATGTTCCACTGGATGTAATCTTGCACTGGTTACTATTTAACTAATTAATTAATTGATTATTTAATTATTATATAATTTATTTAAAAGATTTGGTGCCTGATTAACTAATTAGTTAGTAACTAATTAAAAATAATTAACTAATTGAATTTTAAGTAGATAGATTTATTGTCTAAAAATGTAAATAATAATTTAATTATTTAACTAATAATTGATTATTAATTTAGTTTAATTATTATTTAATGTAGTATGTATCCTATCAAATGTAAACTACAGTTTACAGTGAAAACTGTGCCTAATTAATGAACTAATTGATTATTACAAATTATTTAATTATTTTGAATTAAAATTAATACACATGGTACCTGATTAATGAATTAACTATTAACTATTTAATTAGTTAACTAATTAAGTTTTAGACATATTTGGGGTTTGACATAACATAAGCATTTAATCGATATTTATGAATGAATTAATTAATAACTGATTAAGTATTTAGTTAATTTATCAATTATATTTTAGATTAATTTAGTGGAGTCATTGTGTGTTCCATCTAATGTGAACGAGAGTTTACTATCTAAACTGTGCTTACAGTTGTTATTAATTAACTAATTAACTGTCTAATTACTTAATTATAACTAATTCACTTCTAATAGATAGATTTGGTTCCTAATTGATGGATTAGCTAATTAATAATTATTAATTAGTTAACTTAAACTTTAAACGGAAGATTTGGTGTCTGATATGATATAACCACTTAATTATTAATAATTAATAAGTAATTAATTAACTAACAATTGAGTAACTAGTTAATTAAGAACTATATTTTAGCTGAATTTAGTGGAGTCATTGTGTGTTCCGCCGAATGCGAACGACAGTTTACTGTCGAAATTGTGCCTGCAGTTGTTAAGTAGCGAGAAAAAATCCGACATGGAGTTCGAGGTTGTGGGCGGTAGTTTTAATTCTGAGCAGACGGAGGAAGGGGCAACACCCGAAGAAAAGTGTATTATAAAATCTCACAGGGTCATCGTAGCTGCTAGGTGCGACTGGTTCAGGAGGGCTCTGTTGTCGGGAATGCGGGAAGCCATAGATAAGTGAGTGATAATATTTTTTTTATGAATTGTGGTCTTTTATAAACTTTTACTTTTAGGAAAATTGTGATACACGATACTAGTCCGTTTCTATTTAAAATATTATTGGAATACCTGTACAGCGGGCGGTTAAAACAGGATTCTTTGTCGACTGAGCAGCTTGTAGAGTTATTGTTACTAAGTGATAGGTACGAAATGGACAGTTTGAAGGTTACTTGTGAAAATGCTTTGTTGTCGTGTGTCGACGATGATTCTGTTTTCTACTTTTTGAGTATGTCGGATCAGTACAATGCCACATTATTGAAGGTGAGCTATTTGGGACTTTCTATAAATAAATAAAAAAATGTTTTTTCCTTTAATTTTTAGACTCGGTGTTTGAATTTCATATCGCAACATCACGAACTGACAGAGAACGAGGAGTTTTTCGAGTTACCCATTTCGCTGCAGGCGGAGATCTTCGATTCCGTCTGGACGCAACCCACCGGCGCTCAGTCGGATATGCTCGATCACGGGTTGGAGCATCTCCTTCCGACCTCCTCCGCCAGCAGTAACTCCTTCCACTGCACTAGTCCCGGAGTTACCGATTTGAAAAGTGCAGTGGAAACGATGCTACTCACTCCAGAATTAGACGTAAGTAATCAAAAAAAAATTCACAACATTTTTCTTGTCCACTGTATATTCCGATTGAGTAGAAGAAAATAAAAAGCGATCAATTACATTTTATCAACGTTTCAGCAGAATTTCTGCCTTCCTCGGGGTTACAAATAAAATTTTAGAGTTAAAACTTAACTTAGAAATGACAAAACATAAAATGGTATATAAAATCAAAACATTGTAACGTTTAACAGGGGTAATTTTTATATTGAGTGTACCTTTGACCTTTGGAAACAAATATAAGTTTGTTTCCTCAGTTTTCGTCATGTAAAATAGATACGTTAGTGTAACCTCATACGCTTGCTAGCTTGGGAGCTACGGCATGAGTCAGATCTCATCAATCTTGTTTCGTATACAGATTTTTTCACAAATCACACAGAAATTTAACAACGAAGACGCACAAACACACCATGCCATCAGTAAGCATTCAATAAAATAACTACGTAGGGTTACACAACACTGCACTATACAAATTTTATTTCGATTCTAGTAAACACTAATATTTTATGTCGAAAGTTGAAAAATTACGTACTATTTTATAAACACCTTGTAAACCAATTGTAGACTAAAATAAATGTAGAAAAGTGGTGGTGACATATTTGGCCATTCTCGTTTCATTGGTTGTTTGTCATATCTCATCAGGTGGATTGATATCATATAGTTTACTAAAACTAGGTCAATGTCAAAAGTCATCGGCACTGTGATTCACAAATTAAACACAGTGTTTAAAAAAAATAGTAACAGTTAAGCTTTGTGTTAAAAACTTGAATGATTTTAAAAAATATTTATTTTAATTTATTTTTTATTATTATTATTTCATGAAACAACAAAAATAATTATTTTAAAACAAATTAACGTATGCCTGTATATTGTACAGTGCGCTCATGATGACGGGAACAAATTCATTTAAAATTCAGGTAATTATTTTGTGGAAAAACGCTTGGACATGTCGATTAGTATTTTTAATTGCGGATTTTTTTATATAAGAAAATTGTACAGGGTGTCTCAAGAAGAGCATAATATGCCATCATAAATTTTTTTTTAATTGTATATTATGCCATTTTTGAATTGTACGGTAAATACTAAACACTTTTTGTATAACACCACATCTATAAAATCAGCGGTTTTCGTAATAATGACGTAATAATGATTTTCTTTTGACCATAAAATCTGCAACTAAAAATACTAATCGACGTGTCCGCCGTGTTTCCACAAAACAATTACCTGAATTTTAAACGAATTTAATCTTTTCATCATGAACACAAAAAATATATATATGTATAAATTCATGGAAAAAATATAAATTTTTAAAAAATATTCAAAAATGTTCTTAGGGTAGTGGACTTCTTCCAAATTGTTATCAAAAAAATATGGTGATTTTAAAATATGTTGCCAAGTCACTCCGTTAGTGGTTGGTTTAAAACGGTAACATTTTAAAAAAATTAATTTCAAGATCAGTATTTTAAAAAACTGACTCCTCTTAAAGTTACACCCTGTATAAACACGATAACTTGTTAAAAAAATTTATTTTTATTAACTCACATACTTTTAGCTTATTTTGATTATCTTAAGATATTTCATATTAATTCAACGAATTTTTCTAAAATCCATTTCAATTAATTTCAAACAATGTTCTGTGATATCAAAAATCTAGGTACATGTGAAAGGTATTTAAACTCGGAGACAAGATTCTTAATTGATGATATCGTGGGAAACAACCACTGTATCCCAACATGCATCCACTTATATCAGCAATAGCTAAAATAAAAATTAAAAATGACATATCTAAGTGTTACTAATGGAAAAACACATATTATATTATTAAATAATGTAATCTTTCATAGAAATTTTTTATTTTTGGAAATATTTTATTCTCTTTCGAACGTTATAAAAACCAAAGCGTAAATACAGCCAGGATAGATAGATTCTTACTATTTCTGCATTTTCTGTCAAAATTGCTATATTTCCATGTTAGTTTTTGGAAAGTTTACATTTAACGTGAACTGATCACCTCTTCATAATGCATAAAGAAATTATTCAATTTCTAAACCCCTTAAAACCGTATTACACTGCATCCTTTGACAGGCAATGATTTATTACTTTGCGTCGAATATGATCCTATTATAGACACATTAATTTTAATTTTTTATTTAGATAATTATTAATTTCTGGCTATTATCAATTAAGAATTTTGTCTGTAAGGTTAAATGTCTTTCTCATACCTAAATTTTTGGTTTCGAAGAACATTGTTTCTAATATGGTAGGATTTATTTTTAAAAAGTGTGCTATAACCTGTAATGGAAGTGTACTAATGGGAAGACAATTGCAGCCCAACCGTTCCACCAACAGCTCCCTGGAGGACCTCCGTCTAGAGCAAAACTCCACCCAAATGGAAACGTGCATCACACAGCTGCGTGACATCGTGGGCGACTCGGCCCCCAGGGAGACCCTCGTGCAGGTCATTTTGGCCGCAGATTTTGATTTGAGGAGGGCGGTAAATTATTATTACGCACAGAACAACTCGGACGAGTAGCATTTCCTACGTTCAACATTATTGTTCATCCCGCATTTGGATTGCATGTGTTTAAATATTTGTGATTGTTGAAGTTATACGTGGTAAATCAGAATGTCGCATCGTGATTTTCGGTTATATCAAGAATAGTGGAGGGAAGACAGAAATTCTAAGATCTCTCTCGAAGCTAACAGTTTCATAATAAATTTTGTCCGTATTATTATTTTTCAAATATTACATTTCTTTTTTTATTTTTCGCTGTGGTGAATTTTTGGGGGAATTATTTACAATTTATTTTAGTCGTACAGGGGGGGTAAAAATTGTGTCATTGTAACTGTTTAAATAATGCATTAAATGGGAATTTTATACAGGGTGTTCCTAAATAAGTGTGGCAACGGAAGACTAAATTCCTATTGAAAAAAGAAACATTTTTTCCTCTTCCATTTTTCTCTCTGGGCTTTCGTTTTCGAGATACATGGTGTCAAAACTTAATTTTTTTTTTTGTTTTTTTGCCAATATCTTAGGAATGCACATTACCACTATTAAAGGCTACTTTTTCGCACCCTTCTCGAATTCATTGGATGTGCCAGTGGTGGAGATTTTAAGGTATCATAAGGGTTTTTCAAATTGACATTTGATAGCAGATTCTAAAGCGCCAATGAATTTTACACAAAAAGAGTTCTTTTGGTTCATTGCTCTAAAGTGAACCGTTTTCAAGAAAAATGACTTTATGAACAAAAACAAACATTTTGCTTACGTTTCGAAAATCTTTTGCAATTCAAAAAATAGGTAGTAATAATTAACAATTTTAAAGAAATTTAACATTACGATACCTTAAAATCTCTACCACTGCCACATCCAATGAATTCGAGAATGGTGCGAAAAAGTAGCTATTAATAGTGCTAATGTGTGTACAAAAGCTTAGTCCTGTAGTTCAAACGGTTCCTAAGATATTGGCAAAAAACTAAAAAAAAGTTTAGACACTGTGTATCTTGAATACGAAAGCCCAAAGAGAAAAATGGAACAGGAAAATAATGTTTTTTTTTTTTTTTCAAGAGGAATTTATAGTTTTCCGTTGCGACACTTATTTAGGAACACCGTGTATATTAGGTCTATGAATTAATTTTGAGCGATTTTTTTGTAAATTCAAGGCTTTGTTATGAAAACTTGTGTACGTTATTATTTTTGGAAGTATGGTCTATCGCAAGCCACTACCTTTGATGCTATCTGCCACTCGATTTCTTTGTATCTTTGTTAGATTGGAAGCGCTGCTTAACCAGGTCGTGTTCCATGGATCGGAATAAGTAGTAATCCGATGGAACAAAATCTGGTGAATATGTCGGGTGGGCTAAACATCCCATTTCAGCATTTCTAAGCATTTTTTGACTTCATGAGCAACGTGGTCAAGCATTGTCATGTTAAAAAATTACTTTATCGTGCTTTTGCTGGAATTGCGGCCCTTTTTTCCTTCAATGCATGACTCAACGGCATCATTTGTGTTCACCAGTGATGGTTTCATGCACTTGAAACAGCTTGTGCACAATATCAAACTGGTCCGACCAAATACAAAGCTGAGCTAGGAATCATGAATATTTGGTCAAGGATTATCAAAACGTATCCATTTTTTTTCATCGTTAGTGACGATATGATGCAAAAAACCTTTTCTTTTTTGTCATTGTAGCAATTGCCGTTCAAAATCTCGGCTTCAATTCATATGGCACCCAATTTCCTTGCTTTTGAATCATACCCAGTCCATTTAGACATTTGGACACTGTTGTGCAAGTTCTTCTTGCGTTTGACATGAACCTTGGTTGAGTAATGTTTCCAATTCCTCATCATCGAACTTTTTGGGTTGACCAGGGCGTTCTTTGTCAACTGTATCGAAATCACCACTTCTAAAACGTCTAATCTAATACTCGCGTGTTTTTATGTTGTTTACAGTTCAACAAAATGACGTATAATAAACAGTAAAGCCTAATGACAGAGCTTTGACTTTAATATAGTTACAGAAGTGTCCGATGCGATATAGCATAAGTTACGCCATCTACCAAATTCCCTCAAAATTAATTCTCAGTCCTAGTAGTTTCGCGATTGTGTGTTCCATCCAGTATTTTTGAATCTTTGAAATAATAAGCTGCATATCCTATTTCGAGAATATGAATTTCTAAATTTTGTGATAATCGTGTTTCTCATTATTTGTCATCATAAAAATAAAGGAAATGAATTTTGTGATAATTCGTGTGAGATTTTTCTTTTGAAAGATATTCACTTTATATAGTATTATTAAGTATTATATAGAATTTTTATATTATTTTGACTCTAGTACTGTCCTTATTTCTAAAAAAATTGGTTTATACGTTACAGGAAAAAATTAGTATTTACAAATCCACTATATACTTTATAACTTCTTGAATAAGTAGCAAACTAACCGGTGAATATTTCTTAAACCTACCACATAAGGATATATTTGGTAATTGTCCTACAAACATTGAACATTGCTAGGGTTCATTTATTTTTTTATAATATAACAATAAGCCTACGTATATCTTTAAGCTATACCATATTTTATACTATTCTAATCTGCGTAATTGTTAAATTCAGATTTATGGAGAATTTTCCCATTTCGTATTTGTTTCTATAAAAGTTTCCAAGTGTTATGCTTCGCACTCAAATATTATGTCTCGATTTGATTAAATTCCAATTACTTGTAAGTCTGGATTTATTAAATGTTGCTAGTCAGTATTTATTACTTTGAGATATATACGATTTTGTTAGTATTTCTTAGGTATGATATAACATTAAAAACATATATATTTTTTCTTCAGAATTTCGTTTTATTAAAGTTTCATAAACATATTTCAGTCATTATTCTGAACTTTTTTTTTAAAGAGAGCTTAAGCTAAAATAAAATATTAACAGTAATTTTATCTATTGATTAATTCTCAAGTATAATGAGACAGTTTTAAATGTACCCCATTCTCATGTTTTTTTTTAAATCTTGCCATTTTTAGTGAATGCTATTTATTGTGGTGTTTCTTTATTGGAGAAAATTATTAAATTCTTTATTCGGTGTTTTTAAATTGTATCATTAACATTAATTTAATTTTGCTTTTGCTATTTTCTATGCATACTTTCATTATTTACGGTATGTTTTCTACATAATAGTTAATAAATTTAGATCACATTGTCGATATCTAAACAAGATTTCATTACTTATTGATGTTATTGTTAACATATTATAATTTATATCAAGAATTTGTTTTATTTACCAGCACAATAACCACTATCCTAACTCCTTGTTCCACATATTAAAATATAAAGTTCTGAATTTGAACTTAGTATTACACGATCCTGTTCGAAGGACCAAAAATCTTGAGGTTTCCCTGTGAAATATAAAATAATGGGTATTATAGAAATGCAAAGGTTTATTGATGTAAGTTAACACACTGTATAATTGAAAAATGATTAGACAATTAAATCGAAACTTCTTAAAACACTTGAATTCTATGGTTTTCTCGATCACACACAAGAATATGTCCATTCGGAGTCATGGCTACACCTTCAAGACCCTTGAATTCGCCCTTGCCGATGCCCCAACACCCAAACGCCCTCAAGAACGTCCCATCGGGGTGGAAAATCTGTATCCTGTTGTTTCCTGAATCGGCAACGCAGATGTAACCCTGATCATCCACTGCTACGCCTCTCGGGAATTTAAATTGTCCATCATCGGAACCTTCAGTGCCAAAGGAAGAGACTACTTTACCGTTCACGTCGAAGATCTGGATTCTGTGGTTGTTCGAGTCCGAAACGATGACTCGGTTCGTGTTTGAGACCGCTATGTAATGGGGGTGTTCAAGTTGGCCTTCCTTGTTGCCCATCGTGCCAAACTTGCCGACGAATGTGCCGTCGGATTGGAAAACCTGGAAGATTCGAAAATCAGAGAAGAAAATACAAGATTTATACCACAAAGAGGGTGTCGTTTAATACGATCAGCCTTTATTTACCTGTACTCTGTGATTTTCCTTGTCACAGACATAAATGAATCCTAATGCATCGGTTGTGACACCCCATGGATAGTTGAAGCGACCGTCTGCAGTACCTTGGCTTCCAAATGCTCTTAGGAATCTACCAGATGGGTCAAATACCTAAAAATGAAAGAGAATGAATTTTAGAGGAAAAATTTCTAAAATAATCGTGTTTTTCAGGAATTATTGGCATTCCAGTAAACATACTAGGTATAGCCTTTCCGGTATCAATCGAATCAAGAGGATGACAGTATGTACCAGGTTTGCTCGCTGACGCAGCAACTCGGCATTGAAATATTTGAAAAATTTGTTCTCGTATTTATTTAGCCATACCCATATACAGGTCTGGTCGAACTAAACGTGGAGGTGGTAGAAATGTATATGCCCAGTTGAAAAATGCAAGCACAGGCAAACGAAATACAAATACAGTTGCATTGGGCTACTGGGCAATAAACCTCAGCTGTTGACAAGTGGTCGACAAATTGCCCAGCAGTGCAGTGTAGCAATGCGGAATTTGGTGTGATTCAGGTAATTTTAATTTATTATAGGCACCTTCTATTAATCATTCATATTACAATTGCGAAAGGGAGAAATAAGAGGGATATTTTGTTTACTAATATTATTACAACATGGCATTTTGGAGACCTTTTGAAACAGAACAAAAGGAAATTTACCATCAGAATAATAAAATTGTTTGAGGACATAAATAATTAAAATATGTTGTTGGCCAAATGAACATATAATAGAAATTTTCTGCACATTATATACAAATTATTATAATTTTGTACCTTTATCAGAAAACTTTTTTAGGGATGCCTATGAAACTCATTAAATTTTCTTGCCAGGTGTTTTTTTACATGTTCAACTGACTTCGGAAAGACTATACTAGTTATAGATGGAGGATGGTGAAGTTTTCCACTTTCAATAACATTTATTTTCGCTAATAAATTAATTATTTCTTATCTAAATTAACATAATTTAATTCACTTCCAGTTGAACGACTACAATCAAAAACTTGTTTAAAAAAAGTTGCAGACGGTATTTTGGAAAAAAGAGGGTGGAAGATCACCAAAAAGTATTTTTTTTTCAGTTATTTTTTATTCACTTTTTTCTCGTTAACCAAAAGTCTATATTGTCTTCAGTTTTTGATGTCATCAAATATGATTTTTAAAATTTAAATTTTAGTTAGTTCCAAAAAAAAACTATAATGCATTGGAATTTGGTACTGATAAGTTTTTGAGATGTAAGGATACTCAAAAAAAATAACTTTGTGAGTCGGACAGTTTGGGGTACAACTAACTGCTCAGTAAAGTAGTGTTCAATAATTTTTTTTTATGTTCCATAAGGAATTTATTGAATAATTATTAATTTACTGGGAGAACAGGTCGCAATTAAATAATTTGTCGTAAAACAAATTTTTTATAAAAATTTTTTTATTACAATCGTTTTGTCTTTATTAGGTATTTAAAACATTTTAGATTTTAATTTTTACTTGAGGAAAAATATTATAATCCATGGTTATTATTGTTTTATCTGAAGATGGGAAAAATAATCCCGAAACGACCGCAATAAAAATTTTTTAAGGTGGCCGTATTCCTGGCCGAGAAATAGTGAAATTTCTGGCGTTTTTAGGTACTGAAATCTTTAAAAGTAAAACGTGTAGAACAAAAGTAAGCACAAAAATAAAATCCTTGATGTTTTGTTTATTCATTGTTACCATTTAAATTTACTCAAATAAAATAATAACTAAAAAAAAGCGTTTGTAAAACATGCGTTTGCTGTTATTCTAACCCCACATTTTAAGAATTATTTTCACGTACTTATAAATAAAAGTAAACAATTTTATATGTAGGACTAAGCAAGTAAATGTTATAAGAATATTTACATGTGGAATTATATATAAAAAAGTTAGTATTTTCGTAGATTTCAGTACCTAAAACCTTGATGGTTTGATCGTTTTTTGCACCTGTTTATTCGTTTTACTGCGGCGTCTTTGAAAATACTCAGGTGGCATGACATAACATTCCTATTATTTGATAAGCTTTAGATTATTCAGTTATTAAATGTTTGAAATTATTTGTCTTTGCGGAAAACACTATTTAAAGAATATGGGGCCCTTAATAAAAAACTTGTTTTACAACAAATTATTTAATTGTGCCCTGTTATCCCAGTGAATTAATAATTTTATTCAAGAAATTATACAGTCAGAAAGAAACAAAACTTTATATAATAAGGAATTTAAAAAATCAACTCAATTTTGACGCCGTACAAACTCCAATTTTTTTAGGATATTCTGAATCACCCTGTATAAAAGAAATAAAGTTTGAACTGATAGGGGACACAGATCACATTTAGTTTAGGAACTGTGAAAAATTCAGCATCGGTTGACGATCGGGGTCTACTTACTTGTATTCTGTGGTTGTATCTGTCGGCAATAATGAATTGCCCGATTCTGTTGACGGCAACGCCGGCGAGACAGTCGAACTCTCCCTCCTTGTTGCCGTACTGGCCGAACTCCTTCACGAAGCGGCCGTTGGAATCGAAGACCTGGACGCGGTGGTTCGAGGAGTCCGCGACGACGATGGAGTTGTCCGGCCCGACGGCGACGCCGCGGGGCCACGTGAAACATCCGGCTTCGCTCCCCCGACTACCTATTTCGAACAGCTGCTGGCATTTCTGCAGGTACTGACTCCTAGGGGAGGTACCTACCACTGCCTGGGCGATACCTGCGGACAGCAATTCAAGTTGAGCCAGGAAATAAACGTATCTAATATGTGGCAAAATATTTGTCACGTTTTAGATGTCTAGAAAATTAACAAGCAAGAGATAGTCGTCATTTTTAACATGAAATAGAGTGATAATGATGTCTGGGGTGTATATTTCATTTAATGAATGTTATTGTCCTATTCCTTTATTACTTAACAATTACACCAACATGCAAGCTCTTTGTGACGACATATAGAAATTTAAACCTCCGAAACCGGATTTGTCTAGGAAAAAAGTCCAAGCTCTCAAAGAACCAAAGGAAAATGAAAGAATTGCCATACTCTCGGCCGACAAAAGAAATGCAACTGTCTTCTTGTACACAGCAGAATATATATCCAAAGTGGAGAACATACTCCAGAACTCGGTGTACCTATAAGAAAATCAAGAAAGTAAAAAAAGTTGCGATTAGAGCATCTAACATTGCCAAGAAACTGTATTTCGAGTGACTGTCTTCCAAAGGCTTCCAAACCAAAACGCTTCACTCCGACCAATAGTAAATGCAGTTAGGTCAGTCATTCACCTATTCTCCCAGTACGTGCTACACCAAACTAAAGACCTACTGAGAAAGTTGAAACACCAAGTCAAAAGCGGTAGAGATTTTATTGGTAAGATCAAGGGAATCCACCTTGATTTAGATAATATTTTGCCAAGTTTCGACGTGAAGTCGGCATTCACAAAAGTATCGATTATAAAAGCACTGGAAGAACTTCATCGAAGATCCATCACTGAAATAGAAGGCAGAAGATACATCAATGAAATATATCCGCACATTAACTTCACCCTGGTGCCCTACCATTTCTAGATGTCCTTGTCAAGAGAAAACAGTGTTTACAGAAAGGCGAATCTGAAAAATTAGTCTCATCACCACCCAATCCAGAAACAAGATATTGCGGACCCTTTAGTACATCAAACATGTACCATTTGCGGACCAGAACACTTAGATGAGGAACTGTACAAGACTTAGGTCTTGGTTTTAGAGGAAATAGATACACAAACTCGGATATGAACGAGCCTTCAGAAGGACACGAAAGGACAAGGAAAAAGACAAATATTCGGCAACGACTCATATGCTCTATAAACAAGTGTGTACTGACATGATAAGTCACATCTTAAGGAAAAATCGCATTAATAGCATCTACGAGTACTGTACTCCAAGTAAGATGGGAAAAGCTTTTCCCAAGATAGCTGGAGACATGATCTACAGCAGTTTATACATCATTCCGTGTACCTTTATGCGGAAAAGTACACACTGGGCAAATAGAACGACATGTCAGTACCTGATTAAAGGAGCACAAGTGTTATTTGAGGAATAACAATGTGGAAAACTCAGCAGTTGAAGAACTCGATGATTTTGGCTAAGAATACAAGGAGTTAACAGAAGTTTAGAAGAATTAAGATAATTTAAGTCAAAGACCAGAACGACATGGGCCGACGACTCAAAGCCATGCATCGGCATGTCATGGACCAGTGTACACAGCAAATATAAATACCGTCCAGCGAACTTAATATCCAATTTCGAATTTCTTCGGAAGAAGAGAGCGATATGTCTCTCTAAACGTCAAGAACTCTAAATCGGCGACGTGACTACCATGCAACCCGGAAATTGTTCTAACCACTGAGAACTGCCACGGAAGCGCGCAAATCATACCAATTTCAAAGCAAACGTTGATATTTCATGATAATGAAATGATACAAATACATACATGAAAAATGTATAATATTCCCTTATTTAACTTTTCCCTTAAATGAAGTTAATCGTTTTCTGTGTACAGTAGGCATATTGATTTTGAACGAGAAGTCTAAAGTCTCCTTAACAGTAATTAAGGTATCTAAGTTCGACTGAGGGCATTATTATCCTGTAACACCCGTGGTACTTTCAATAACGCTCGTCTAAGTCTCCCTAGGATGTTATAAATGTGTTTTATATACTAATAATCACAAGCATTCAATTTTAATATACTTAAGAATTATGTATAATGTGGTTCAAGTACCTCTTTTGCCACTGTTTTTACTAAAGTTGTTTAATATTTTAGACACTTTTAGGAAAATCGAGTAAATTGCTTTTTACGCTCACAAGTGAGAGAAATTCGAACCTCTTTGAGAGTTATTTCAATGTGAAATTCAACAAACAAATTTTTACTGCCTACAACTTATTATTTTAAAGAAAAATTGTGATATACGTACCGACCGCCGCCGTAGCTGCTGTAGGGGTAGTGGGGGAGCCTTGCATGTTTTTTGAATCGTCGTCGGAGCTTCCCATTTCCGTGGACGACCTGAGCGGAAGGCCGAGCGACAGTCTCCTGGCTGCGGAGGACGTGCTGGACGACGGCGCTGTCGCGCTGGCTCCGGATTCCTTGTCTTTAGCTGCGCTTCTGTTGCCGTACTTATTCTTTAAATATCTCGCCCATGAACTGAGGGCGGCACCGTCTTTTTCGGTGGCCGCGGACGACCGTTCTGGTGAGTTGTCTCTGGATTTCAGGGCATGCGAGGATCGGCTTCTGGCAAGATCGTGTCCAGATGTTGTCGAGCCGTAACCTCGGGACGCCAGGTATGCAGAAGGGTTGGAGGAGGTAGGCGAGATTGGTTCGTCTTGTTCCTCTTCGTCGCCGAATTGTTGGCTGCTTCTGCTTCGAGCTAAGCGTTGTCGCCGCTCTTTTAGGGCCATGTAGCGGGAGCGGCCACTCGAAGGATATTTAGGCTCTTCTTCGGCTCCACTAGAGCCATATCTGCTGCTGTGATGGTCCTCATCTTCTGGAGGTATCACTGCGGAGCTTTTGCTTTTGTTCAAAAATCTACTGGTGTATCCATAGCGTGGTGGTTCGTCTTCTGTAGGTGTTGGTCTGGTTCTTGTGTATTTAGTAGTGGGTGGCTCTTCTTTAGGCGTGTATTTTGGTCTAGTATATGGTTCGTCAGATTTGCGAGTGTTTTCTGCACTGTTGTCTCTAGCGTTTGCGCTTCTAGCTAGAAGGGGACCAATATCTGATTTGGCCATATTATTAGTTTCAGTTTTTGGGACAGTTTCTTCCTCGGATTCTTCTTCAGATTCCGTAGCTTCTTCAGAGCTACTTTCGCTCACTTCTTCGTCGTTAGTAGTGGGAGGGGGGACCGTTGTAGGTTTGTTTTGTAGGAATCGACTTTGGAAAGGCTTTTGAGCCGGCGTGTCTTTGGGCGAAGCGGCAGAACCACTTCCCGCGCGAGAACGAACTGCGGGGGTGGTGTTATCTGTGCGGGATAAAATCTTTTGTTTCACTTCTTCAGTCGTGAAGGGTGCGCCGGTATTGCGAATGGCTGATGATGAAGCAGTAGAAGATTCCGTCGATGAGCTGGAGTCTGAGCTAGCCGAGCGCGCGGATTTCTTGTGGCTAGCGTCGGAAGGTCTTCTTGTAGCTGCGGCTGCGGTTTTGCTGGCTGCGGTTTTCCTTTGCGTTTGTTGCAGGGAACTTACTGATTCGTCAGTTTCTTCAGTACTGGATACGGCCTGGAGAAAACAGTGTGTTAGGATTTAGAAGGATCTTGCACACATCTTCATGCTTCACACACAAAACAACAAAAGGTAGTAGGCTTGAGTTGAAAGTAGGTGACATGCCAATGTGTGATCGAGTCTACTTTTGCTTTCATTAAGTTAATAATTTGTGAACTACCACAATGGACGGCAAACAAGCAACATATATTATACTAAGTTTTAATATCTAAATTGATTTAATCAGGTACTGTGTAAGGGGTTACGGTTCATCCAAACTCACCTCAGGGGCGGGGGTTTTCCTTTGTCTTTCTTCTGTGGGAGCCCTTTCTGTCGGCCTCGTTTCTGTAGTGGCGGTTTCTGTGGACGTAGTAGCCCCTTTATTTTGTTTTTTAATTCTGCTAATTTCGTCCTCCTCGCTCACTTGCCTTGTGGTCGGAGGCGGAGGTCTCTTAGGAACTACTTTTGGCTGAGGGGCAGGTTGTGGGGGTGGAGCTTCCTCTTTCTTCTTGTTTTTACCGCTCTCGTGCTCCTGCATCTTTTTCATGACTCTTGGAGAATCCGCTAATCTGGTAATTCCACTAAGCGGTCCACGAGCTACATCTTCCGTGTCCAAAGTTTTTTCTCTTTCATGTTTCTGCTCGAATCTGACTTTGGATGACTGTTCGGTATCAGAATCGTTGTCTGGGTTCTGATGGCGTCTGAATCTACTGTACTTAGACCTTGTCGGCCTGCCGTCGTGGTCGTAATCATCACCGTAATCGGTGCCGCCTCTGCCGTACCTCTCGCCGTACCTATCAGTGGTGGTCGTCGTTTTGGGCCTTTCGCCGAATTTCCTGCCACTGAGAACTTGGTCTTCGGAATCACCGTAACCCCTTTCTCCGTATCCTCTCTCTTCTTGCTGCCTGAATTGAGAGGCTAGTCTGTGGTCGCTTTTCGATCGCATTAGACCGGGACCTCCCGTTGGCTGCAACAAACCAGAGGACTGGCCAAAGTGACTGTTAGCTATATTTAAATCTCCGAAACCGGCCACGTGAAGCACCAGCTGGTTCGGGTCGTGCGCTAGAATTAATCGTACTTTCCTGCTGTAGTCCGAGTTTTCGTATTCGAAGTTGCGGATGAATTCTACAGTCTTAAGGAAGATTTCTTTGGCGTCCATGAGTTCGCAGTCGTCCCAAATGTCCACGTTCTCGTTCATGTGTTTGTCCGCCAAATCGCAATTACTTAGTATGTTTGAAATTTCTTGTGCTAGGTTTTCCTTAAGCGTGGTTAAGCTGCGAAGCTCCGTGGTAAGGTACCGATCGATTTCCCCGCGTAGGTAATCGGTGCGATCTTTCAGGGCCTTGTTGAGTCTCCTGTAGATTTCGTCGACCTCCTCGCCCACAGACAGACAGTTGGTCTGTATGTTTTGCGCGTTCTTTTCCACCAGGGAAAGGGTGTCCTGTAGCCTGTGGATGCCCCTCCTGATCTGGTTGTTTATTCTGGAGATTTCCCTTCTCAGAATCTCCATGTGGGCCCCTTTGCATTCCTCGCATATTTTTTTATCACAGTGCGAACAGAAGCTGCAGTAGGCCTTCTCTGAGCAAACGTTGCACCTCTCCATCACTTGACCGCTGGTGGGATCGGGCAACTCCCCGGTTATTTCGATGTGCAGCTCGAGGAATCTCTGCAGGGTTACGTTGGTGGGGAAGCCCTGGACCCCCTGGTAGGGGATTCTGTGCTCGGCGCGGCATTCTGGGCATTTAACCTGGAATGATGTCGTCATTAGAAATACAAAACGTGCTTAATGATTTATTTATACAGTGTGGTCAAGGTTTTAAGGCGGAAACTTCACAGGGTGTTAGAAACAATTATTTTAAGCAAAAAGTTTCATAAGTAGAATGCAGTTCGCTTCTTTTATGAAATTTGAAAAAAATCACATTTACTGAAATATCTCCGAAGATATTTGACGTAAACTGATGAAACCTGGGCTACTGATGGTTTATCTGAGTGAAAATGTAAGCCCGCCAAGTTGATTTACAAATTCGTCAATCCTTGGCGGAGATATAGATGAACGGTACCACTGGGAGCCTCAAAATCTTGACGCAAATTAGAATTTCGTTAATTATATTAGTGTTTTTATCACCCAATAGGATTTCAAATTTTTTAAATAGGTGCCATTTTAGAGTTTCGAATTTTTTCAGATTAAAGTGAGTTAAATATTCTAAGAGATAATTCTGAAAATGTGATATTTTTTCAAATTTCAACACTGTATCTTGAAATCAAGGCGAAGTACCCAGTTTTTTCTTAAAAGAATTTGTGATTTTGTGAACTTTCCACTTGATCTATCCTGTAGGTTTGTGTTACCTTTGAATTGTTGATTTTTATGATTAAAATTAACCACTCCTGCTATTATTAAAAATAATATGTTTTGTTTAAATCTTTCATATACATGGTCGGAAAGTCCCCATGGTTCATCGGCCGTTACGTGAGAGCGATAAAGTAAGTCATAGAAATCCGTGCGATAGAGAAGGATGGCTATAATGAAGGCGTCTCATAGTCACCGTCCGTTTCGTCCTTCCACAAATAAGATCCACTTGCACTTGTAATTCAGCGACCAGTGGCCATCTTTGTTTTTGTCGTTTGGCTTTTCTTTAATAGATGTCACTAGTGACCTTGTTTCGCCTACTGAGAAGTTATTCAAATGGAGTATAGTGCTCAGCTGCATTTAAAGTTCATTTAGTTGTTATTTAAGTATATTTTTTAAAATGACTTAAAAATTCCAGGAAATAAAGCAAAATTCCCTATTGCCCCAATTCCAAAAAATCTGTAGATCTGGCATCACTCTTTCTAGGGCTGCCCTCAGTTAACGGATTGTATTAACATATCGGAATACGAAGTCGGAATTGTATAAGTAGTGACATCTATTACAGAAAAGGCAAACGACGAAAACAAAGATGACCACCGGTCGCTGAATTACAAGTGGAAGTTGATCTTATTTGTGGAAGGGCGAAACGCGCGGTGACTATGAGACGCCTTCATTATAGCCATCCTTCTCTATCGCATGGATTTCTATGACTTACTTTATCGCTCTCAGGTAACGACCGATTAACCGTGGGGACTTTCCGACCCTGTATAACTTTTTATATACCAAATACAGACCGTGTAAACTAGATAATATTTTATTATTTTCAACTAAAAATCATATTCACCTGTCTTCGTACGTAATCTACAAGGCCTTCCAGGCAAGGCTCCATACAAAAGCTGTGCTGGCATGGCAATAGTTTGGGGTTTCTATACCTATCAAGGCAGATGGCGCAAGTCAAAAGTTGCTCGAATTGTTCCATTTTTCAGTCTGAAAGTAAAAATGAAAAAATGACAACACAATTATACGAACATATAAAGTTTTATTTATGTGAGCGAAAATAAACATATATGAACAGAAAATTAAGAGAATGTATTTTAAAGAAAATTTTTCTTTGAAATATAATAAGAAATTAAATAAACTTATCCAAGTTATAAAATATTGAGTTACGTTGATATCTGACAGTGTCTCCCATTTTTATCTTTATTTTTTTAAATCGTCTGCTCAAAATTCATAAATATGTCAAATATCATTCGAGATATTTGCGTATTGTAATATTTTTTAAAAACATGAACACCATGTATTCTGTAAATGAAACAAATATGGACTAAGGTATATTTGGTTAGTTATAACATTTTGGACTCAAGATCATACAAATGGTATCTAGATTTGTGCTTCTTCATTTAAACACACCCCGTACATCAGTAGCCATCAGTGGTCATCAATATTACCAGTATGGGAAAATGTTGAATTGCTTATTATTTAATGCAAAGTATCCACTGCTAGTTTCGACCAATTAATTAATTAGGTATAGTCCTAATTTGAAATTAATTGGTACTAACTAGCGGTGAACATTTTTGATTAATTTAAAATCGTATTCATTCCACTGCAACGGTAAAACAACCCTTTGTTGCGTTTGTTCCTCGAATTGTTTTTTTAATTATCTAAAACGTATTCTTTTGAATTTGTGTATTGAGTTTTGCTTAGTTATTCTTTAATAGTTGGAGACAAAAAAATGATAGATATGAATAAGTTATTTGTTATTTAGGCAAAGAATATTATCTTTATTTAAGGAGATGTTAATTAGTTTTCTATAGTTTAACATGACAGTTCAACAATTCCATTTAAAAAACAACAGTTATCATTGCACAATGTTGTAAATACGAACATATTCAATTTCTGAGTTTATCGACATTAGCATACCTACGTACTTATAACAATATAAACATCTCAGTAAACTCTTCAAATTGGGTTAAATCGAAAATTTAAATTAACAAAAAAGTGAAATTTCTTTAGACTAGAATAAATTCATATATTCAACTATATTTTTTCAAGAAATGCGTATTTTAGTCATATGCGATAAGTATAGATTTTTTGCAAAGCAAAAAACTCGATATTTCTAACAGCAAAAAAACAAACGGTTTAAGAGTAAACAAGAAAAAATCTTTGAAGGCCTGTGATTTTTTAAGGAGACATTTTGGTACTGATCATTTGATTATTTACTTCCGTTTGATCTGAGGGAACTGGGATTAGATTTTTTAGATATAATAGACTCTTTTAGTGTGACGTCACATATTTAGGCAACCCGCAACAGATTGTCATGGCACAAAATAATATTTTTTTCTGAGATTAGCTTTTGGTTTTGCTTATACAGGTTCGGAAAGTCCCCATGGTACATCGGCCGTTATGTGAGAGCGATAAAGTAAGTCATAGAAATCCGTGCGATAGACAAGGATGGTTACATTGAAGACGTTTCATAATCTGAATAGTCACTCCCACTTCTAACCCGAAACGGGCGGTGACTATTCAGATTATGAAACGTCTTCACTATAGCCATCCTTGTCTATCGCACGGATTTCTTTACTTTACTTTGTCGCTCTCATGTAAAGGCAGATGGGCCATATGGATTTTCCAGCCCTGTATGTTGTTTGGTTAAAACAGCAGAAAATATATTCGAGAAAATATTTTAATAAGAATTTCTTCAAATGGTTTTATTTCGAGTGTCTAGAATGTTTCAATTTTTTCCAATTTTTTCAGTTTTTTGCTTCGGAAAAAAATAATCGTATTTTCCAATTTTTCCATTTTTTCCGAATTTTAAAATTTCACCTTAAATAGTTCAAAACAAAACGATTAATATGGCAAAATTAGCAAAACAAAATTCATCCTCGTCAGGGTACATAAATTTCTTTAATACGACTTTCTATTTCTAATGGAATAAATTATTCCCCATTAAAATTAATGCGGAATATATTTTTAGCGAAATGTGTTCGCGAATATTAAAATTACGCTTTCGTGAATTTGAAATGCAGAGGCAGCACTCCGGAGAATAAGAAATACCGAATCGCAATCCAGAGCGAATAAACGATATATGTATACGACGCCGTGTAACTACTCGACACCTTAGCATAAAATTCCCCAACGGGATTTATTATTACCCTTCTCGCGAGCTTTGTTAAAACATACATTACGAATTTTAAAGTTGGGTCAGATCGCGATTTCGCCGATAAATTATATCCGGGACTACGCCTGAATAAGAAATTTTCTCACGGTGCGCGTAATTCATTGTTCCCAAATGGTGACCCGGGAAATGCATTTTTCATTACTAGAAAATGCGGGGAAATTCTTATTCTTTACGGAAGTCCCGCAGATTTTGTTTGCGTCATCGCGCTGGGTACAAATTATTCATTATTCTTAGGAAAATACTGGCTGGGATCGTATGTAACTTGCTGGGATTGTGCACCGGCAATCCAGGCCGACAGGGCAGGCATTAGGGTGCCGCTAGTCACGTACTGAATAAATTGATCGATGCGAAGCTTCAGATCAGAGGCAGAGGTAGAAAGATATTGACGACGTGGCGTTCATCGTAGATGCTTCCAGTGCATACTGTGTTTTGCTGTTACGAAGACGTGTTTTTCTTCGTAATTGTATGGTCCTGTGCATTTTCAGTGTAATTTCTTATTAAAATAAATCAATGGCGTGAAAAATAAAAGAAAGGAATTTAATTCCCAGTCGAAGTATATCGTGTTTATATTTTATTATTCTGAAAATAACGCGGAAAATTTCAAGGCACGCCCCTGCCACAGTAAATTGTTACAGTAGTTGTGATAATAGAACTTTATTGGCATATTCTTTTCATGGAATTCTATCTCAACAAATATTGTAGGGACTGTGTATATTTTATGGTAAGTTCCATGTGAAGTGTTTACTGTAGAAAAATAGACACTACCTCTTTTTGTTTCATACTATTACGCAAACACTTGCATGCAAAGAGTGCAGTTATAACAACGCATTCGCATCCAGTGTAACCACCGCCTAACCCTTTAAAAATTAATACAGCACCAATTCTGTCTGCAAAAGGTTAAAATCAATAAACAATTTTGGAAAATTTCAACATTTTTACTCGAATGTCAATAGACATAAGAAGTATTTTCAGAAACGAAATATTAGTTGAAGTGGCGGTTGTTCTAAAAATAATATAGACAGATATTTATTTGCTTGTTTAAAAATACTTCAGTGTTGTCTGTAAGTTATCAAATAGATATTTAGCTAATCATCAGACAGTTGTATCGCATAAAATAATATTAAACCGAAACCACCCAATTAATCTTTTTTGACAACTAAGAGAATTAGCTTAAAATATTGAACATGTTCCATATTTTAGACCCAGAATATTGTAGCCTTCAGCTATCCTCTATGTTCCAGGTTAACACTATACTCGTGTCACTTTAAACTGACCTTAAATTCCTGGTAAACAGGTCAAGGATACAAAAATATAGTTTAGAAACTGGTAACCTATATCTCAAAGTCGTTCTATGTACTATTAATATTCGTACGGCCAGTCCCAGCAATAATATTTACTTCAAAATGAGGGAAATAATTGTACTAAGAGGACTATAGGCAGATTTTACCATAAAGACTATAAGGGACATAAAATCATTGATTGTAACTGAATTTACTTATTGTAATCAATAAAAGGATTTATGAAAGCACTATTTTTAATTTGGACTCATTTTTTGTGTGTTTCGGATCTTACGGAAAATGCGTTCTCTGCTGGTTTTTCAGAAGGGTGCATGGTGTCAATTTTTTAAATTTTTAAAAGGAGTCTAGCTGTGTTAATGGCACGTCACTGGAGCTACATATTAAGTTGAAATTGTACGTGCTAATAGAGGGTCATACTAGTGTATTTTATGCTAAATTGGAAGATATTAGCTACATTGGTTTCGCAGTTAAGACAAAAAGACTTTAACTTCAATTTAAATGTATTGTAAATTTAAAATGAAGTAACTTTGAACTGAGGTCAACGAATTATCAAATTTTGGCCTCAAGATTATCTCTAACATTTGTATTTCTTCGTTTAAGTATTTATTTATTATTGTCAGAGTTGAAGATGGTGAGTTAATTCCATTTTTCAAAACCCAAGTTTTCTACAATTCTATAATTGTTTTTTTAATTACAACCTGCCTTTGTTTCTTTAAATTCTTGACGTTTTAATCAAATTCTTGGCATTTTTCTTGCTTTTTGAAGCATGGGCATCTGGAAGTATTGTAACAAAAGCCGGGTCGCATGGTAATTTATTTGTTAGTTCTCGGAACGAATGGGGCAAAAAGTAAAATATTTCAGTCAACACAAATTATCGAAAGTTGAGGGATTTCAAGTAGGTAGCGTCGTCCTTCGGAGAAATTTACCAATATTTTTAACAAGTTCGTCTGGGAGGCGCCAGCGTAGAAACCCATATTATTAATAACGCGCGAAATCACGAGAAGAGCGTAGAGGTTCCAAAGTAGAATTAAATCAAATTTTAAATTGATAGTAATTGGAAAAGAAAGTAACAGATTAAGCAGCTGGTTTTTTTGACGGATTTTCCAAGCTATAAGAGTAGATTAAATGAGATCGACTAATCCGTCCCGTATTTGCTACACGGAGTCGCTTAGAGGAAGGCTAGGGTTACTTGTAAGTCACGTAATTATTTATATAAATGTAAATTCAGTCCATTAGACAATTATGAACATGGCATAGTTATACCAGGGCATCCCGACATCCAGAGTTCCCGCCAATAAGACAAGAACAGAAACTTCTGGACCCAAGAAATGGGCGTGTCGAAGCGAGGTGTCGAATTCAGGAAAGATCTAAAAAAGGTCAGTTTTTCCTTAGATTTCACATTGAGCAGTCGACCTAGTTTTAGATTAGAGTTTCGGGCTAGTTAATTAAATTTAATAATGGCTAAAGTTTTTCCAAATTTTGCTATGAAGCGCGCAGTCCCTGAATCTCGG